GTGGGATCTCAGCTCACTGCAACCTCTGCCTCCCAGGTTCAAGCGATTTCCTGCCTCAGCCTCCCAAGTAGCTGGGACTACAGATGTGCACCACCACGCCCAGCTAATTTTTGTATTTTTTAGTAGAGACGAGGTTTTACTAAGTTGGCCAGGCTGGTCTTGAGCTTCTGACCTCAAGTGATCCACCCACCTTGGCCTCCCAAAGTGCCGGGATTACAGGCATAAGTCACCGTGCCTGGCTTCATATCTGTATTCTTATGTTTATTGATTGATTGATTGATTTTGAGATGGAGTCTCACTCTGTTGCCCAGGCTGGAGTGCAGTGGTGCGATCTCGGCTCACTGCAACCTTGGCCTCCCGGGTTCAAGTGATTCTCCTGCTGCAGCCTCCTGAGTAGCTGGAATTACAGGTGTGCGCCACCACATCTGGCTAATTTTTGTATTTTTGTAGATACAGGGTTTCGCCATGTTGGTCAGGTGAATGCCTGACCTCGAGTGATCCGCCTGCCTGGGCCTCCCAAAGTGCTGGGATTACAGGCGTGAGCCACCGTGCCTGGTCTGTATTCTTATATTTCTTACTAATCAAAATGTTCTTTGGGTAAAGATATTTAAATATTTCAGGCATTTTTCTTGGCATTTTGTATAACCTTTCTGCATTAACCCTTTGTTATCCATTCCAGGTAGTTTGCTTAAAAAACAAAACAAGAAACAGATTTACTGATTGCCTGATTGACACAGAGTTTCACTCTTGTTGCCCAGGCTGGAGTGCAATGGCATGATCTTGGCTCACCGCAACCTCCACCTCCTGGGTTCAAGCGATTCTCCTGACTCAGCCTCCCGAGTAGCTGGGATTACAGGCATGCACCACCATGCCCGGCTAATTTTTTTCATTTATAGTATAGATGGGGTTTCTCCATGTTGGTCAGGCTGCTCTTGAACTCCTGATCTCAGGTGATCTACCTGCCTCAGCCTCCCAAAGTGCTGGGATTACAGGCATGAGCCACCGTGCCAGCCAGAATTACAGTATTTAGTGTCTACCCTTTTATTTTCATTTTTAGAGAAAGGGTCTTGCTTTGTCACCCAGCCTGGAGTACAGTGTTGTGATCATAGTTTACTGCAGGCTTGAACTCCTGGGCTCAAGTGACCCTCCCACCTCAGCCTCCCAAGTAACTAGGACTCCAGGTTTGTGTGCACCACCACACTTGACCTAATTTTAAGAATTTTTGTGTAGAGACAAAACCTTGCCACGCCAGTCTTGGGCTCCCAGTGTATTGGGGATTATAGGCATGAGCTACTGCACCCAGCCTAATGCTCACCTATTTAAATTGATCTTTTCTATTTCTTCTCATTCTTTCAATTAAGCATAACCAATATTTAAAACTATTCTATATTTAATCCTAATTCATCCAGATTTTGCCTTATAATGTAAAAATGTACTTTTCTAACAAATTACAGAATTTTAGTTTTTTACCTCTAAAAAGGAGCCTCTAACAGTAAAACTGAATTAGTTGCTAGTCTCATCCACTGATTCTAGGAGGGTGAAATCAGTCAAGGCTCTAAGGGTAAATTCAGCTTGTCTTTAGAGGGTTAGCCCTTTTACATAGACCCCACTTTCGAAACGATGGCAGCACTTTCATAGAGCCTAGTGGATTAGGATGGGTAATCCCAGAACCACCACCTGGAAGAACAAGGAAGAACCCTGCTTCCTTGTTAGGAAACTACTATTCCTGACAGTTCTGAAGAGGATGTGGTTGGTGAAGTTTCCTGCTTCTACTGGTCATATATTTACGTGGCCTCCCCTTGTGTGGGCCTGATGGCTACAGAAACAAGGGCAACTCTGACTTCTGCAGAGCTGGCATGAGACTCTGCAGCCACACTCACCTGCATGAGGTCAACAGCACCAGACTTGCTCTGTGCAAAAGAGGACACAAAATATATTACCCTTAGACTTTCCAAGATTTTTAAATCATCTCTAATTAGTGGTTCAGGTCACCAGTCTGGGGACTTTAAAGAAAACACAGGTTACAGCTGGGTGCGGTGGCTTATACCTGTAATCCCAGCACTTTGGGAGGCCGAGGCAGGTGGATCACGAGGTCAGGAGTTTGAGACCAGCCTGGCCAACATGGTGAAACCCCGTCTCTACTAGAAATACAAAACAACAACAACAACAAAATTAGCTGGGCACGGTGTCAGGTGCCTGTAATCCCAGCTGCTCAGGAGGCAGAGGCAGTAGAGTCACTTGAACCCAGGAGGTGGAAGCTGCAGTGAGCCCAGATCGCGCCACCGCACTCCAGCCTGGGTGATAGAGCGAGACTGTGTCTCCAAAAAAAAAAAAAAGTTACCATGAATATACAGTTTGTTCTTTTTTCCTGAACATTGTGATGCTGGGTCTCTAAACTTTAATATAAAATATTTCTTAATGTTATCTTCAAGTACTTATTAAGGAGGCACAGAAACTACACACATTCTAAAAAACAAACAAACAAACAAACAAAAAAACTACACACATTTCTATGACTTTTCTAGCCCTGTTTCCTGAAGGTAACTACAATTTCTACTCTTGAAAATACTGGTTCTTGCTGAGTATAAATGCTTTTCTCAAAACTACTAAAGATCATACTAATCCTTTCATTATAATTAAAGTATTCAATAGGACTTGGAGTCCACATTCAGTAATCCCTTATTTGAATGAGAAATTGTAAAATAAAGGCCTTGCCTCACATGCCAACTTACAGTCAGAGCAGCTTTCTTTCTGGAGACAGGGTCTTACCGTCACCCAAGCTTAAGTGCAGTGGCACAATCATAGCTCACTGCAGCATCGAACTCCTGGGCTCAAGTGATCCTCCTGCCTCAGCCTCCTGAGTAGCTGGGACTACAGGTGCAGGCTACCATGCCCAGCTAACTAAACATTTTCTGTAGAGACAAGGTCTTACTATGTTGTCCAGGCTCATCACAAACTCCTGGCCTCAAGCAATCCTCCCACTTCAGCCTCCCAAAGTGCTGGGATTGTAGGTGTGAGCCACAGTGCCTGGCCAGAGTAGGTTTCAAAACCAAAGTTGTAGTTTATTTAATTATACCATACAGCTACAGTTTACATTTGTTTTTTTTTTTTTTTTTTGTTTTGAGATGGGGGTTTCTCTGTCACCCAGGCTGGAGTACAGTGGCACAATCTCTGCTTACTGCAACCTCTATCCCCCAAACTCAAGCGATTCTCCCTCCTCAGTGTCCTAAGTAGCTGGGACCACAGATGTGCACGCTGTTTTTATATTTTTGGTAGAGACAGGGTTTCACCATGTTGCCCAGGCTGGTCTTGAACTCCTGAGCTCAAGTGATCTGCCCGCCTAGGCCTCCCAAAGTGTTGGGGTTACAGGTGTGAGCCAGCACGCCTGATGCTGGCTATGAAATTTCTTAAGCCAAGTAAACTTGTACCGGTGTCAGTAAAATGACTAAAGCTACAGTGTGAAGATCGTGAATATTTGTCTGCATATACCAAAGGCTTACTACTTAAAATTGGAGGTAAACCACAATGAGACATCACCTCACTCGTTAGAGTGACTATTATCAAAAAGACAAAACCTAACAAGTGTTGAGGATGCGGAGAAAAGGGAACCCTTACAATTAAGGGAAATGTACGTGAGTACAGCCATTATGGAAAACAAAATGAACGTTCCTCAAAAAATTAAACAGAATTGCTCTATGACCCAACAATTGCACTCCTTGGTATGTATTTAAAGGAAGTGAAATCCGTATGTTGAAGAGATACCTGCAATCCCATGTTTATTGCAGGACTATACGCAATAGCCACGATATAACTGACTTAAGTGTTCAAAGTGAATGAATGGATAAAGAAAATACGATATATATACACAAAGGAATACTATTTAGCTATTAAAAAGAATGAAATCCTGTCATTTATAACACGAATGAACCTAGAGGATAATACATTAAGTGAAAATAAGCCAGATACAGAAAGACAAATGCCACATTTTGACTTATATGCCAAATCTAAAAACGTTGATTTATATGTAGTGAATAGAACAGTGGTTACCAGGGACTGGAGGTGGTAGTGGGAGGGATGGGGAGAAGGTGGTGAACAGGTAAAAAGTTACAATTAAAGGAGGGGCCCAGTGCAGTGACTTATACCTGTAATACCAGCACTTTGGGAGCCTGACATAGGACTATTCGAGGCCAGGAGTTTAAGACTAGCCTCGGTGACACAGGGAGACCCCTATGTCAATTTTTTAAAAGATAAAAAATTAGCCAGGCCTGGTGATGCATACCTATAGTCCTAGCTACCTGGGAGGCTAAGGTGGGAGGACTGCTTAACCCCAGGTATTTGAGGTTGCAGTGAGCTATGAGCACGCCTGCCACTGCACTCCAGCCTGGGTGAGATCAAGTGCCTGTCTCAAAAAAAAAAAAAAAAGGAATAAGATTTGGTATCCTATTGCACAGCAGAGTGACTACAGTCAACAGTAAGGTACTCTGGATCCAGGCACTGTGGCTCATGCCTGTAATCCCAGCATGTTGGGAAGCTGAGGCAGGAGGATTGCTTAATGCCAGCCAGGAGTCTGAGACCAGCCCATGCAACATAGTAAAACCCCAACTCTACAAACAAATAATAAAATTAGCTGGGTGCAATGGTGTACACCTGCAGTACCAGCTACTAAGGAGGTTGAGGCAAGAGGATTACATGAACGAGGGAGTTCGAGGCTGCAGTGAGCCATGATCACATCACTGCACTCTAGCTTGGGCAAGAGCAAGATCTTGTTTCAAAAAACAAAAAACAGATCAAGTATTGTGTACCTCAAAATAGCTAGAGGAGAGGATTTTAAATGTTCTCACCACAAAAACACGGTGTTTCAGGTGATGGATATGCTAATCACCCTAATTTGATCATTATAATGTATACATGTATTGAAACATCACACTGTACCCCATAAATATGTACATTAGGCGTCAAAAATAAATTTTAAAATAGGAGGTGAAAACAACAGGATGCAATTATTTTCCAAAAGCGTTGTTTTTATTTATATAGAGTCCTAACCACTTCAGTGGCAGGAGGAGTGGGAGAGGTTCCTTTTTCAATCCAGGGACCTCCATAATGTTGGTTTGTTGTTACCAAACACACAGGTAAGTGGCATCACGGATCTGGTAAACTAACGACAATGTTTAGTCTCTCTCTGCTAGAGCAACAAGGTGAGCATCAATCTCTGCTTCTGTAAGAATCCTAGAAGGCAAAAGGGGGAAAAAACCAACCATTTAAAAAAAAATTTCAAACACACATAAAAGTAGGATAGTATAATCAACTCCCATATATCTATTGACCTACTTCAACAATTATCAATTTATAAACCAATCTACACACACTTATCCTCCCTCAGATTTTGAAAGAATTCCCAGATAATATATCACCTTCACCTATACACAAAAATGTTTACTTATTTGACATCAGATTTAGAATTGTTATCTTGAAAATAAAATTCTTTAGTTGCAGCTAAGATAGAAAATATTTCAATTGAATAATATAAAGCTAAACTATAAAGCATTCTATTTAGCTTCTATGTCAAAAGGCATTTATTTTTATTTTTTAATTTTTTTTTTGAGACAGAGTCTTGCTCTGTCACGCATGCTAGAGTGCAGTGGCGTGATCTCGGCTCACCGCAAGCTCCGCCTCCCAGGTTCAGGTGATTCTTCTGCCTCAGCCTCCCAAGCAGCTGGGACTACAGGCACGTGCCACCACGCCCAACTAATTTTTGTATTTTTAGTAGAGACGGGGTTTCATCATATTGGCCAGGCTGGTCTGGAACTCCTGACCTCATGATCCACCTGCCTCGACCTCCCAAAGTGCTGGGATTACAGGCGTGAGCCACTGTGCCCGGCCGTCAAAATACATTTATATGTAGTATAACTCAAATTTATGTCAGCTCAAAGATAAAAATTCGTGAAGAAATTTTAAGCATATTAAAGTGTTCAGATTCAGTGAAAATAAAGTTGTAATTCTATGAATAGTCTACCAGCCAGAGAGTGCTCCATGTTGAACACATATTTTCTTTCTTTTTTTTTTTTGAGATGGAGTCTGACCCTGTTGCCCAGGCTGGAGTACAGTGGCATAATCTTGGCTCACTGCAACCTCCACCTCCCGGGCTCAATCAATTCTCCTGCCTCAGCCTCCAAACTAGCGGGGATTACAGGCGTCCACCACCACACCCGGCTAATTTTTGTATTTTTAGCAGAGACGGGGTTTCACCATGTTAGCCAGGCTGGTCTCAAACTCCTGACCTCAAGTGATCTGCCCACGATGGCCTCCCAAAGTGCTGGGATTATAGGCGTGAGCCACCATGTGCGGCCCTGAACATGTATTTTCTAAATGATGTTTGCCTCAAAAGGAATCAATTGTTTGGCAACCTTGTTAATGTGACCTATTACTACTAGACTTCTAACAAGTACAATTTGTCAAAAGAACATTTTTTAGTGCAACTGAAGGCAATATTAAGCAGTTTAAATAGTTGTTGATGCTTATGCTATGTATTGTAATTATTTACATATATTTACTATCACAGAACTTATAAATGATACAAAGTTTTTTGAAGACAAGGTTTTTGGTTCCTTACCAATTTTAAAAATAACAGATACAAATACAATTTTAAAGGTGGCAGGAAGGTCTCCAAACAGAAAAGAAAACAAGAACTAATTGTAGCTTTCTTAGAGAGATTTTAAAATTATTATTGCTGAAATTTTTACTGCTTTAAAAAAAAAAAAAAAGGCACCTTTTTTGAAAGCAACTTGATCTCCACCCCCACACCTCACCCCTACCCCAATCCAAGTTATAAGACTTCTTCCTATAGGGAAAAAAAGCTAAGACAGATTCGGTTCTGGTGTTGTTGTTGCTATTGTTTTTTTTTTTTTTTAAACAGATGGGGTCTCACTATGTTAACCAAGCTAGAGTACAGTGGCTATTCACAGGCACTATCATTGTGCACTACAGCTTTCAACTCCAAGGCTCAAGCCATCCTCTTGCCTCAGCCTCCTGAGGAGCCGAGACTACAGATGCATGCTACATCACCCAGCTCCTGTCTTTTTTTTTTTTTTTTTTTTAAAGTCCTATGAATTCTTCTAAATCTGTCATGTTTATATGACTTATCTGTGGGCAACCAAAAGAACAAATTAGGAAAAAATAAATAAATAAATAAAACGAAAAACCTCTTCAAGGTCTAGTTAAGCTTAGCTTACCACTCCCATACCCACACCACAACCCTGATCATGTGTCTTTATGGTTGTGATCTAACAGTAGATACACCTCATAGTTAAAATGCCTCCCAGTAGTTCCTTGCATCTGTGGATTTAACTGTAGTATTTTCATTAGTTAAATATAACACATCCTGGTCCATGGTATATAAACTGACTTACAGGTTGCTGGGAGGATTAAATGAACTGACTATGTGAAGCACTCAGTATGGATTTGAATCATGGAAGTTAGAAGGCTGATGTGTGGGAGTTAGTCACTTAGTGAGTAAGAACACTCACACCCATATCCAGCATCTGCAAGTCAAATAGCTGTATTCAAAATGTGGGCTTTCCAAAGATCTCCAGATAAGGGTCTGACATATATCAGTAGCTCATATTGCTCCTAAAAGTTCTACTTAAATAACCACTAAATAACCAAAGTTCTATCTGAAAAACTTGCAAACTACTACTTTGGGAATTGAATTTGTATTGGCCTTAAACTAAAAAAAAGAAAACACAATGTTAACTTTTTTCCTTACATAAGGAATGTAGGAAGGTAACTTTATGTTATCTCTAGTGTCAAGATATAAAACCACTATGAAATAAGGAGAAAAGCTTTCATATCTGACTCTTAAAGAGAGTACAGTAAGTTTTAAAACAGATCTCAGGTGCTAGGGGAAAAAAAAAAACACTATAATGGCAGTTAGAGAAAAAAGATTTCCCCCACAAGTTATAGGACACATGAACTCACATGCCTCCACCTTTCTAGTCTGCATTTGGCCCACAATATCACTCACCTGAATTTAGGATTTTCAACTGTCACTACTCCAACTTCTATTTCTGAAGGTTTGAAATCAATTGATAGAACAGTAGACAGGCATGTAATTGCAGTCTGAAAAAGAGTATGTAATGTTAAAATACAGTATTTTTTAGAGATTCCAAGGTTTTCTCATTCCTAGTTTATTCAAATCAGGAGTCAATCAGGAGCTCCGTGTTTTAATGAGGTAGTTCAATGTTACTCACAGACTGCTTAACTCTAATGCATGGCCACCCAATGATGAGAAACTTGTTTCTACCAAGTCAAATAATAAAGGGGTCCATTAATTAATTAAATAGGATGATTTATACAAAACAGTTTATTGCCTTCATGACCCAGGCACTACGCTTCACTTAGCACTTGGGGTGAAATGGGAAAAGGATAAAGATGAATTATACTCCCTGTACCTTCAAGGAATTTACAGTAAAAACAATTTAAGAATGTTTTAAGTGTTTTTTGTTGTTGATATATATATATTTTTTTCTTTGAGACAGAGTCTCACTCTGTCGCCCAGTCTGGAGTGCAGTGGCGCCAGCTTGGCTTGCTGCAACCTCAGGCTTGTGGGTTTAAGCAATTCTCCTGCCTCAGTCTCCTGAGTAGCTGGAATTACAGGCGCCTGCCACCATGCCCGGCTAATTTTTCTATTTTTAGTAGAGACGGGGTTTTACCATGTGGGCCAGGGTGGTCTCGAACTCCTGACCTCAGGTGATCTGTCTGCCTCCCAGAGTACTGGGATTACAGGTGTGAGCCACCATGCTTGGCCTTCAGTGTTTTTCTACCTGATGTGGTTATTTATATAATTAATTAAGAATTGCAATTTTAAAAACCTTCAAGAAACATTTAGACAGGGCCCAGTACTTCCTGAACATGAACTAGCTTTTTATCTCCTTTAAGCATACTTCGAAACCAAACATAAAAGCCTTAGATGGTAATTTTTTTTTGGTCATTTCTCAGAAGCATGTTGTTAGCGTGTTCAGAATGGTTTTAATTCCAGACTTAAACACTCCAAATCTACTAAAATTTTTGTTTTTAATTTCTTGGCAGTAAATAGGACTGGCCTCGAACACCTGGACTCAAGCAATCCTCCAGCTTCAGCATCCCAAGTAGCTGGGACTACAGGTGTGTGCCACCATGCCCAGCTAGTTCCTATTTTTATTTATATTTTCCTATTATATGTGTCTTGTTGAAAGTCACCTCAAATACATTATGAAATAATGAATTGAGTGAATAAAAGTAACCCAAATTTTTCTATGTCAGCTGTATGATATCAATTTCATTATTAAGTTGACAAACTTGAATCCTAGGATGTAATTCAGGAATAGCTTTTTATAGAAATTATACAAAGATCCTCACTGTTCTATGTAACATAAAAAAAGTCAGCTCCTTTTGGTTGACTTACTTCCACTGTCTGTTCAAATGTCCAGTCAAATTTCTTCTTCACTTTTTTTTCAAGGAAGCTGGTTGACTCAGTTTGTTTAACTCCTGCTGCAGTGGCTTTAAACCCACAGTAGTAACCTGCAGGATCACACTTATATACCTGAGGGCCTTGCTCTTCATCTATACCAATTAAAATCATACCTAAAAAGAGAAAAGACCCTAGTTAAATATGTTTTAGTTTTATACAATGACATCTCTTTCTTGGTGGTGTCACATAGCTGCTGCTAATCATTACTTTAGCCATCAATTTTAGGATATGTATTTTCCTTTAAGAAAACTGATAAACAAAATACAGGTTATCACCACAGGTAAACTAGGTAACAGATAAATTCCCATTTCACAAAAGGATTTATCACAGATTTAAAAAAAGTTTGAATAATTACAAATATAATTTAAAAATAGTTTTTCCAATCCTTGCTGTTATCCAAGCATGGTTATTTGAACCCTAACCCTTCAAGATGTTGCCTGGTCAAATAAATCTCAAAAACATTTTTTTTTTTTTTTTTAAGAGACAAGGTCTCTGTTGCCCGGGCTGGTCTCGAACTCCTGGGTTCAAGTGATCCTCCTACCTCAGCCTCCCAAAGTGCTGGGATTACAAGTGTGCACCACGGTGCCGGGCCCAAAAACACTTTTGTATACCTTTTCTGGAAACAGATAATAAATAATAGCATATTAAATGCTCTGAAATATTTTGTTGCAGACTGACCTATTTAACTTTAACTCAGTAGTTCTTCAGTTTGTTTGACCAAGAAATACCCTTTATTTTTATTTTTATTTTTTTTAAGAAATACCTATTAAGGTTCCAGGGAACAGTGTATGGGACACACTTTGGCAATGCTGGTGCAAACTAAAATACACTTACGGGTTACCTGCTCACTTTTACACTGCTCATCTTCATTACTGTTGGTATATACTCCTCTAGTAAGTCACACAAACCAAGCTCTAAATTCTATACAGGTAATTTTGTTACTACAATTCTAATGTCACCACATTATAGGCATACAATTAAAATAAACACCATCATTAAATTTCTTTCTACTCAGTAGAACAGGTAACAAAGTTCTTAAAGGTTTAACTGCTTTCTTTTTTTTTTTTTTTTGAGACGGAGTCTCGCTCTGTCACCCAGGCTGGAGTGCAGTGGCGCAATCTCGGCTCACTGCAAGCTCCGCCTCCCGGGTTCACGCCATTCTCCGGCCTCAGCCTCCCGAGTAGCTGGGACTACAGGCGCCCGCCACTGCGCCCGGCTAATTTTTTTTCTATTTTTAGTAGAGACGGGGTTTCACCATGGTCTCGATCTCCTGACCTTGTGATCCGCCCGCCTCGGCCTTCCAAAGTGCTGGGATTACAGGCGTGAGCCACCGCGCCCGGCCAAGGTTTAACTGCTTTCTTATATTTGATATATACAAAATATAAGGGCAACACAAAAAGGTACCCACTTACTGCTTGGGGAAACAACAAATACTTCTTTCCTTCAAGGTCTTGCAAGATGAATAGGATTTATGTAAATTTTTATTTTTGTTTTTGTTTTTGTTTTGAGATGGAGTCTCGCTCTGTCACTCAGGCTGGAGTGCAGTGGCGCAATCTCGGCTCACTGCAAGCTCCACCTCCTGGGTTCACACCATTCTCCTGCCTCAGCCTCCTGAGTAGCTGGGACTACAGGCGCCCGCCACCGCGCCCGGCTAATTTTTTGTATTTTTAGTAGAGACGGGGTTTCACTGTGGTCTCGATCTCCTGACCTTGTGATCCGCCCGCCTCGGCCTCCCAAAGTGCTGGGATTACAGGCGTGAGCCACCGCGCCCGGCTGGATTTAAGTAATTTTTAAGTGAGAAGCCAAGAGGGTCAGATGCTAAACACAAATCATTACACTGACTGCTTTAATGCTCATAAATGAATGACACAATGTCAGAAACAAACATGCATTGAATTCTTCAGGCTAATTTATTACATTACATCTAAAAATCAGTAAATCTCATCCCTCTCCCAATACAATTTTACTTGTTTTCAAAAATAGAAATTTATTCTAAAAATGTGAATCACAGACCTGTGTGTGACCCTAATTCTTTAGGGTGGTCAAAAGAAACAGCTACATTGTTAAGATGCCTGATGGAGGTATTTCTATGGAATTAGTAATCTAGAATTGCAGTAGAATCTCATTACAACATCCTAATAAAATTAGGACTTGCATCTTTCAAATCACATACTCCAAATGGAACTATTTTGATAAAAAGTCTAAGAGCATCTAAAGCTTAAAGATACTGCCTGACATACTGTTGTGAAACCTATCCTTTAGTTCTGATTTGTTAAAAAGATTTTCCCACTCTATTTTCCAAACCACATGTTCAGAACTCAAGTGTTATTTAAATAACTCTGTATACATGTTCTATAAAAAGTTACAATTCATCAATTATTTGGGAGACTTCTTAGCATACTTACAACAACCAAGAGGCCTCATTTCAGCATTCTGTGTGTAGACCTGAGAAATATCGGCAATTCTTTTACACAGCATGTCCACAGGAATCTCATAGCCATACTTGTATTTCCAGTTAGCTGCCTCATAGCGTGCCCTCTGTACCTGGGATCTGCTGTCAGCTTATAGCATAAAAAACAAAGGTTTATCTGGTTAGAAGGAAAGAACAAACCTGAAAGCCAGGCAATTTAGCCAGGCAATTTTCCCACCATACAGATATACATGAGTTAAAGAGAAAGGGTCCACTATGGCTTTTTGTCCCCCAATGAATACTAAATAATTCATCAACAAGTATACAAAAAAATTTTTAAAACATGAAGCTCTCTACACAGTACTGCCCTTTTATACTGAGCCTTTCATTAGCAGTCAAAATAGTTTCTACAAGTATCCAGCTAGAATAAGCATTAAAGAGGCAGGGCATGGTGACTCAACACTTTGGGAGGCCAAGACAGGCGGGATCATTTAAGGCCAGGAGTTCAAGACCAGCCTGGCCAACATGGCGAAATCCTGTCTCTACTAAAAATACAAAAATTAGCTGGGCGTGGTGGTGCATACCTGTAGTCCCAGCTACCCGGGAGGTTGAGGCATGAGAATTGCTTGAACCCAGGAGGAAGAGGCAGCCTGGGTGACAAAGTGAGACTGTCTCCAAAAACAAACAAACAAACAAAAAAAAGCATTAAGGTGAATAATCTTTCTTAATCTTTGTTTTTAGGCTTGAATTAGTAAATTAGTTTTTCATTTATTTTTTAGAGATGGGGTCTTGGACTGGCACCCAGTGAGCCATCATAGCTCACTGTAGCCTCCTACCTCAGCCTCCTGAGTAGCTAGGACTACAGGGATGTGCCACCATACCAGCTAATTTTTCTTTTTTCTTCTTCAGATGGAGTCTTGCTCTGTTGCCCAGGCTGCAGTACAGTGTCATGATCTTGGCTCACTGCAACCTCTACCTTCTGGGTTCAAGCAATTCTCTTGCCTCAGCCTCCCGAGTAGTTATGATTACAGGCACCTGCCACCATAGCTGGTTAAGTGTTTTGGTATTTTTATTTTTACTTTTTGAGACAGAGTCTCACTCTGTTGCCCAGGCTGGAGTGCAGTGGTACAATGTCAGCTCACTGCAACCTCTGCCTCCCGAGTTCAAGCAATTCTCCTGCCTCACCCTCCGGAATAGCTGGGATTACAGGTGTGCACCACCATGCCCAGCTAATTTTTGTATTTTTAGTAGAGATGGAGTTTCACCATGTTGGCCAGGCTAGTCTCAAACTCCTGACCTCAAATGATCCGCCTGCCTCGGCCTCCCAAAGTGCTGGGATTACAGGTATGAGCCACCACGCCTGGCCTTTTCCTGTATTTTTAGTAGAGACGGAGTTTCACCATGTTGGCCAGGCTGATCTCGAATTCCTGACCTCAAGTGATTCACCTGCCTCAGCCTCCCAAAGTGCTGGGACACAAGTGTGAGCCACTGTGCCCAGCCCCCAGCTAATTTCTACATTTGTTATAGAGATGGAGTCTCACCATGTTGCCCAGGCTGGTTTTGAACTCCTGGTCTTAAACAATCCTCTCACCTTGGCCTCCCAAAGTGCTGGGATTACAGCTGTCGGCCACTGTGCCCAATCTAAAATAATTTTCAAAATAATTCTCACTCACTTCTAACCGGTGCCATTATAACCAGGTTTGAGATATACTAACGTAGGTCCCCTTAAACTACTAACAATAGCTGAAATAAGATAAAATCATCTATGAAAGGGGTCTCACCAGTTTCTCTGACAGTAGCATAAACATTTAATTATACTATATGTATAATTTCAAAAAAGCTCTCAATACTCTTAAAATATTGATACTAGTCTTGAAGACTGCAAATCCACTCATGGCACCTGAAAATCAGGCAATCAGATAAGTTTAAAATTAATACAAAACTCAAAATAGTTTGAAGAAAATAACAAAAGGCTTGTATATCTACACATGTCTAGCTAATTACCTGTCATTCCGGTCATCACACAACCAATGTTTTCAGTTATCTTGAATAAGTGAGTCACTGTGCTGGAATCCAATAATTTGTCCTAATAAGCAAAATAAACAAAGATAATTTTTAAAAACATGTACAGGTTTCTGTGTAGTTATAAAAAAAAATTATGTTTTTATTTTTAATTTGCCCTGTTTCTTGGAGAAAACAATACTATGGAACCATAAAAATAAGCTGTATAATAAATGTCTTCTGACCATTTTATAGTTAAAATCAATTTTAAAAAAAGGGTTTCGAGGGGCTCTATTTTCCTTTTTTAGATGATACTTTTCCTGTGGACAAACAATAGCTTAATAAAAATTTGTCTCAAGGTCCCCAAAGACAAAAGACTTAAATCCCATTATGCTTACAATCACACCACGAAGTTTAATATGCTAATTCTGTCCACACAGCTGAACTGTATATAGACGTTCAATAGACACTTCTTGGATGACAGGAAAGCAGAGTCAAAGCAAGAATCATGTTAATATTTGTTGTTTTTTTTTTCATGTTAATATTTGTATATAAAAATACACTTTTCTACAAACCCATGAAAAATTCTTTTTGTTTTTTTGAGATGGAGTTGCGCTCTTGTTGCCCAGGCTGGAGTACGATGGTGTGATCTCGGCTCACCGTAACCTCCACCTCCCGGGTTCAAACGATTCTCCTGCCTCAGCCTCCCAAGTAGCTGGGATTACAGGCATGTGCCACCACGCCCGCCTAATTTTGTATTTTTAGCAGAGATGGGTTTTCTCCATGCTGGTCAGGCTGGTCTTGAACTCCCGACTTCAGGTGATCTGCCCACCTCAGCCTCCAAAGTGCTGGGATTACAGGCGTGAGCCACTGCACCTGGCCGAAAAATTCTTGTATCCTATAATTAACTATTTGGGCAGTATTACTTACAGGTACTTTCTTCTGTGTGACAATTACTGCACAGTCTTTCCCTCTGACAGCTACTGATGTAAGGCCACCCTGGTTAATAGCCTTAAAAGCATATTCTGGAAAACAGAACAGTTTTTTTTAAGTTGGAATAAATTATTGTAGATTCTTGCAATGAAATAATAGTCATTAAAAAGAATGACAAAGAGCTACATAAACATGAAAGGCTCATATAGGATTCCAAGATGTGCAAAATGAAAATAATAATAATGACCATAAGTCACAGTTAAACCAACTCCATTTCTTCCATTTTCATTTTACTGAAATTATTTTCATTAGGCTGATGCATCCAATTTCTAATAAAGTTTTTTTTTTCTGAAACAGAGTCTTGCTCTGTCACCCAGGCTGGAGTGCAGGGGTGCGATCTCGGCTCACTGCAACCTCACTGCCAGGTTAACGCTAGTCTCCTGCCTCAGTCTCCCAAGTAGCTGGGATTACAGGTGCGTGCCACCACACCTGGCTAATTTTTGTATTTAGTAGAAATGGGATTTCGCCATGTTGGCCAGGCTAGTCTTGAATTCCTGACCTCAGGTGATCCGCCTGCCTTGGCCTCCCAAAGTGCAGGGATTACAGGTGTGAGCCACTATTCCCCGCCCCAATCATACTGCATACTGATCATAAAGATCATACTGCATCTTTATCAATGATGTTTTGTCATTTCAAAAGTTTTTTTTGTGGCCATTATTTCTAAATCTGGTTTTCCCAGGTCAAATTTAGCTGTTCTAAATTTTTTCCAGACTTAATACTTCTGTGAACTTTTGGCCAGTAACTAATTTGACCACATGCAGTTTTAATTGCTGTTTGATTATTCTGCATTGCTTTTTGTCTATCAAGTTGAATATTTCTGGATCATGCTTTTGCAATTTTCATGTTACCTACAACATATGACTCTATCTTTTTTTTTTTTTTTTTGAGATGGAGTCTCACTGTCACCCAGGCTGGAGTGCAGTGGCATGATCTCAGCTTACTACAACCTCCACCTCCCGGGTTCAAGCGATTCTCCTGCCTCAGCCTCCCGAGTAGCTGGGATTACAGGTGTGCACCACCATGCCCAGCTAGTTTTTGTATTTTCAGTAGAGATAGCGTTTCACCATGTTGGCTAGGCTGGTCTCAAACTCCCGACCTCAGGTGATCCGCCTGCCTCAGCCTCCTAAAGTGCTGGGATTACAGGTGTGAGCCACTGTACCCAGCCCAAATTTTTTTTTTTTTTTAAATTTTTAGTAGACATGAGGTCTCACTATGTTGCCCAGGCTGGTCTTGAACTCCTGAGCTCAAGTGATCCTCCCATATCAGCATTCCAAAGTGTTGAGATTACAGGCGTGAGCCACCAGGCCACTCTCTGCAATATTTAAATTTAATAATAGACACATATTTTGGTGGGTTTTGAGATAGGGTCTTGCTGTTGCCTAGGCTGGAGCACCAGGGCATGATCATAGCTCACTGCAGCCTCGACCTCCTGGGCCCAAGCGATCCTTCAGCCTCAGCCTCCTGTGTAGCTGGGACCACAGGTGTATACCACCACATCCAGCTAATTTTCAGATTTTTTCTGTAGAGATGGAGTCTTCCCATGCTGCCCAGGCTGGTCTCAAACTCCTGGACTCAAGTGATTCTCCCACCTCAGACTCCCAAAGTGATGGGATTATAGGGATGAGCCACTATGCCTGGCCTGTTCAGTTTTAGTTAAAAATAGATATGGGGTCTTGCTATGTCTCCCAGGCTGGTCTCAAACTCCTGGACTCAAGCGATTCTCCCACCTCAGACTCCCAAAGTAATAGGATTACAGGGATGAGCCACTATGCCTGGCCTGTTTATTTTTAGTTAAAAATAGATATGGGGTCTTGCTATGTCGCCCAGGCTGGTCTCAAACTCTTTGGCTCAAGTGATCCTCCCACCTTAGGATTACAGGCATGAGTCACTGTGCCTGGCCTGGGCACATATTTTGTAATCAGGGAAAAGCAACAAAAATCAATACATGCTCATGGTAGAAAATATGAAAACACAAAAGATAACTTTTAGATAATTATTCATAATCTCAATCATTATTTACATTTTGACATGTAACAGATTATTTCAAAATTCTGTCTTCGAGTGTTACTCTGGGCACTGAGTCTGAGCCCTGGCCTCATGTGTTCAAAAAGTCATAGGTGATGAGGACCAGCTGAGAAAGCTACTGCCTATCACGCTAAAGAATCTCCTTTAATAGAAACTGTAACAAATCATCAAATATTTCTAAATGGCTAAATTTTTTTTTTTTTTTTTTTTGAGACGGAGTCTCGCTCTGTCACCCAGGCTGGAGTGCAGTGGCCGGATCTCAGCTCACTGCAAGCTCCGCCTCCCGGGTTCACGCCATTCTCCCGCCTCAGCCTCCCAAGTAGCTGAGACTACAGGCGCCCGCCACCACGCCCGGCTAGTTTTTTGTATTTTTAGTAGAGACGGGGTTTCACCATGTTAGCCAGGATAGTCTCGATCTCCTGACCTCGTGATCCACCCGCCTCGGCCTCCCAAAGTGCTGGGATTACAGGCTTGAGCCACCGCGCCCAGCCTAAATGGCTAAATATTTAAGAGAGGACAAAAGAATAGAGCAAAAATGATTACAGAAAAATCGCCTTAAGGAAATCCTTGGTTGGGTGCAGTGGCTCATGCCTGTAATCCTAGCAATTTGGGAAGCCAAGGAGGGAGGACCGCTTGAGCCCAGGAGTCTGAGGCCAGCCTGGGCAACATGGCAAGAGCCTGTTTCTACAAAAAAATGTTAGCCGGGCATGGTGGTGCGCCTGTGGTCCCAGTTCCTTGGGAGGCTGAGGCAGGAGGATCACTTGAGCCCAGGAGATGGAGGCTGCAGTGAGCTGTGCTCGCACCACTGCACTCCAGCCTGGGCAACAGAGCAAGACCTTGTTTCAGGAAAAAAAAAAAAAAAAGAAAAGAAATCTTCAAATATGGCTTGGATTTAACTGGTTTTATCATTATTATCATTATGGAGCAAGAGACAGCATCTTGCTCTGTCACCCAGGCTGAGTGCAATGGCACAATCATAGCTCACCGCAGCCTCAAACTTCTGATTCAGACCCTCCCACTTTAGTCTCCTGAGCAGCTGGGACTACAGGTGGGTATCACCATGCCTAACTAATTTAAAAAAAATTTTTAGGGATGAGGTCTCACTACATTGCCCAGGCTGGTCTCAAACTCTTGGCCTCAAATGAGCCTCCTGCCTTGGCTTCTGGAGTAGCTGGGATTACAGCAGGTATAAGCCACAACCCCAATTTAATTGGTTAATTATAATAGCAAAATTTTACCATCCCGTTACACTACAAATGCCTTTTTTTTTTTTTTTTGAGATGGAGTCTTACTCTGTCGCCCAGGCTGGAGTACAGAGATGCGATCTTGGCTTACTGCAACCTCTGCCTCCTGGGTTGGAGCAATTCTCCTGCCTCAGCCTCCCAAGTAGCTGGGATTACAGGTGTGCACCACCATGCCCGGCTAATTTTTGTATTTTTAGAGATGGGGTTTTGCCATGCCGGCCAGGCTGGTCTTGAACTCCTTGCCTCAGGTGATCCACCCACCTCAGCCTCCCAGATGCTGGGATTACAGGTGTGAGCCACTGCGTTCAGCCTACACTACAAATAACTTCTAAAAAAAAGCTGGTGCCTCCCTATCTGTGGGGATTGGTTCTAGGACCTCCCATGGATACCAAAATCCACAGAAACTCAAGTCTCTGATATAAAATGGCACAGTATTTGCACATCGCCTATGCATATCCTCCTGTATACTTGAAGTTATCCCTAACTTGGCCAGGCATGGTGGCTGACACCTGTAATCCCAGCACTTAGGGAGGCAGAGAGAGGCGGATCACCTGAAGTCAGGTGTTCAATACCAACCTGGCCCAAATGGTGAAACCCTGTCTCTATTAAAAACACAAAAATTTGCCGGGCATGGTGGCAGATGCCTGTAATCCCAGCTACTCAGGATGCTGAGGCAGGAAAATCGCTTGAACCTGGGAGGTGGAGGTTGCAGTGAGCTGAGATTACACCACTACACTCCAGCCTGGGCGACAGAGCGAGACTCCGTCTAAAAAAAAAGAAAGAAATTATCTCTAGCTTACACTACACAAGCTAATACAATGAATGAGACTCCATCTAAAAAAAAAAAAAGAAAGAAATTATCTCTAGCTTACACTACACTAGCTAATACAATGTAAATGCTAAATAGTTGTTATACTACATTGTTTAGCGAATAGTGACAAGAAAAAAATCTGTACGTGTTCAGTACAGGAGCAATTTTTTCCCTTAATATTTATGATCAGCTGGTTGAATCCATGGATGAGGAACCCATAAATATGGAGGGCTAGCTGTACAACTTTCACACTGCTTCTTGGTTCTGATCCTGATATGGCTAATAAAGCTTCTATCAGATCAGCCCTCCACAAATAAAAACTAACTCTAAACAAAACAACAACTACCTAAAGACACCACAAAGTCAGATTCTAGAGGGGAAGTCAACAGTTGGGAGAAAGCAATGGCATGAGTTGAGCTTCCCATTTTTGGGGCTCATAATCTGAGAGCCGTAAAGGCTGAACTCCCACAGAAAACTCAGTCTTTTTGGCCTGAAGAACTAGAGAACAGTTGGGGGTAACAATAGCTGCTAGAAAACGAGGGAGAGAAAAGAGAGCGCTAGGGAGTAAGAGTCCCAACTTCTATATATAAACACTGCCCAAATCTCTGGCAGATTCCATAACAACACACACAAGGCAGACTCCAAGCGGCCCAATTAAGGATAAAAGAAACAGAGTGAGATTTAAGATGCCACCCAAGAGACAGACTTTGTAGCTTGAGAATAACCAAATTAACTGCCTACTAGAACAAAATAAGTCAATACTCTTTGGAGAAATATAACCGAATCCAGAGTCTTCACAAAATAACATTCATAAATGTCCAGGATACAATTCAGAACTCTCAACACACCAAAAAACAAACCAAGTCAAACTAAAAAACCAAAACCAAAACCAAACAACAAAACCCAGGAAAATTGTGTTTAATTCTCAAAAAGAACAATCCTGAGATGACCC